GCCGTAGCGTTGCGCTTAGAGGAAGCGTAATTTAGGTCACCGACCTTTCGTTTTATACTTAGAACTAGTACGAGTTAGCAGATCGCAATCCGCTTACTCCAAAACTAATTACTGCCTTAACCCAAGGCTAATTGCTCTTCCGTTTTAATTCAAAACTGATTTTTATTAATCTTTAAATGTATAGATTTTCCAATACATATATGAATCTAAATACATGCATAACTACTGGCTACCTAGCCACATACCATATTCTTGTTTGGGTGCATTCACACCATGCCCATCTGGTGTGACACACTTTCCTGTTACGAGGGTACGTGTAACCCCGTTACACGACCGTTAAAGTAAATTGAGGATTCTCACATTTTTAATGGGGAGAGTGTAACGGGGTTACACGTACCGGCGGGTCGCACAAGATGGTGCGACAATACAAAGGTGTGTATTACGCAGTTAGTGTAATCACACAATGGAGTAGCTCACTACGCGGCGGGATTGCAAGTAGTAATGCATACTAATTAGGTCTTACAATATTGATTAGGTATGACTATATTGATTAGGATAACCAAGGGTTTTAGATATTGGCGGCTCTGCTGCAACCAAAACAATTTAATACAGTTTTAATTGTAAACGGAGGAGTTCTCTACATTGGCTTAGGTTTTTAGTGCTACTTTAAAGCAGTGGATTATGATCCGCTGCACTCGTACTGGTTCTTGTAAAGAACGTAAGGTCGGTGACCTTAGCTTAGCTTCTTCTAAGCAAAGAGCTACACCATCCCCGCTGCATATGGGGTCACCTAGCGCTTGTTTTTCTTTTATAAGACACCAGGTTTCAACGAGCAAATTGCGCCGCAGCTCGATGAGCAAGTTTAGATCGACTCATTCCATAACCGCGACTTGGCTGAGTCTGCAAAAAAATCGTTGAGACTTTTATGATTTCAAACGGACAAGCTCGAATAACTGGTGCAAATTCTCATTTTTGATAACGAGCAAACTTTACTGTCCATCGTAGATAGCGGGCACGTGGTTTACAAATCTTGTATTGGTGAGTCGGAGTGTAAATATAATAACAATCTCAGAGAGGTTCCTTAAGACAAACAGCTACTCTCATCAGAGAACATATCCGCTGCTTCACCGAGTATAGCCTGAACGGAGGTGGTCTGCCTCGGTGGTTGCACCAGGACATCAGGTCGTTGAGCCATGTGGCCATAACTTGAGGGTCAGGTCATACTCAAAGCGGGATGCACTGAAATGTGCATTTGTGGGTGAAGAGCTCCAGGCGGAGAGGTGCTCGCGAAGCGTTCACTATTGAGCAATATTAAATTTAAAAAATGGATATGACACGTGGGGAGAGTGAAAAGGGCTCTTCACGAGCCTCATGTCAATCTCAGAATCACCGCGATGCGATGCTGAATAGGGTGGTTCTGCTAGCCTTATGCTACGCAAAACGCTATTATTCAATATAGTAAACGGTAACAGCTAGTCTGAGTTTAGACTAAGCTCAATTCTTACTGTCAGATGGTAGGAGCAAAACTCAGAGGCTCATTTAATGAATGAATTATTGCCCTGATATTGGGTGAAGCGTACGACCCTATTTTCTGTGTGTTTATCTGTGTGAATTCCATTTATCAACTCTTTCTTCCTGCGAGGTTCATGGCAACCTCGTTAAACTCAAACTAAGCGTTTTAGGTCGTGGCGTAGACATAGTGGTCGATACAAATCACCCTCCCCCAGTGTGTGTGATAAAATTGATGATGTTATCCCAGATAAATTGAGCGACAAACGCCGCGCACGCGACGCTATGGCTGTAATCGCAATATGTAGATTCAAAAGCCAGAAAGGTTTATCGCGGATGACAAATTTAATTATCCTTTCTATGCATGCAGTGTCTGCAGTCCTGGCGCTCATGATACAATAGACATTTGACGCAGTCGCCCTCTTAACGTCGATCATTTTCCAGAATACTATGCCGCGTTGGAGTACTGCAAAGTCATCACCTGCAAATGGAACTGTGTATCGAAGATCTCAAAATGAAGAAGATCTAGTGCGAAAAGCTCATGGTAGACCCCCGTCGAAATTGATGAGATCCCAGACCAGCTTTTTGTCTTCGTAAAAATCCATTTTTTTATCCCCGCAATCATCGACGATGTAATTACTGCTTGCTTTATAATTTGTGTCACCGTTTATACCATCTAGGTCGATGTTTGAATAGGGTATAGGTGGAGAGAGAGAGCTGGTGTCCCAATCGTCGATTGTATCCGCCGTCTGGTTTGTTAAAATCTCAAGAATAAATAATTTGCCCCACTTTTCTTTCAGACTAAACCAGAAAGTAGTGATCAAGACAATTATGAGTAGCAGTGCAGTTCTCGCACTTGGCGATCTGTTGAATGATTTTGAAGTAAAGCAGCGAGGAGTGATGTTAATGGCTGTGGATAAAGCGATGGTTAAGGTGATGAAGAAACAGAGCGAAATGCTTGATGTCATCAAATCTCACGTGGAAACACGTCATCGCGTTGCCATGGACGACTCTCGCGACAAAGCGATATGTACGCAACCGTCATTATTGGAAAGTATTATTGACAAGACACTGAGTAATGCGGGACTCGTCTGTTGGATTATCAACGAACTCAAGCAGAATCAAGCACTCGAGTATATCAATAAACTACGCAGTCATCTCGAATCAGGCCAACGTAATGCCTTTCGAAATGATTTTGAGGGATTACTTGATGTGTATATGGATGTTCTTAGTATAACAAAGACACGTGGCTCGCGACTAATTAATCGTATAGAAGACTTATATGAAGCGTTATACCTAAAGGCGGAATATGATGCCGACCTGGTTAATCTCGTATATCGTGTACGTTGGGGCTGTCGTGGCGTGAATTTAATCAGTAATACGCGTCAACATCATGCTTCGCTGCTTTCAGAAAATGAAGTTCTTGAGCTTTGCGGTTGTTTTAGTGCGATTGGTGAAGCAATGTCGACACTTGCGCTTGAATTTAACGCCTGCAAGTCCAAAGACTCGCCAACTTCGTCGCCAGTTTCGACTGATAGTGGGAACAGTATGAATGGTAATATTGAACTTGAACTTGCCATGCTCCCGCAACATCGACAAGCGGCAAATGTTGATACCAACGACTTGGATTCACCATTTGACTTTGTTACCCAATTAATGGCTAACAACGGGATCAATGCCAATTCCATCATGCAATCTCCGACATATTTTCAAGGCGATCAAAGTATTCATCAAAAGTCTTCACATAATTTTTTGCCTGGATTTAGCAATACCACGTTTGGTGATCTATCTTCAAGTCAAGTATTATCTACGAGTTTAGGAAATATTTCGGCTCAAACATCATCGTTAGCGACCGAAACGCCGGATTTATCGGGCTTGGATTTGACCGATCTAATTGGTCTGAATGGCGGCTCAAAGCTGTCGCCTTCTTTATCACGGTTAGGCTCAATCGGCAGCACTGCGAGCAACTCAAGCCGGGAGACTCCTCCACTACCTCAAGGATATAATGACACTTACGGGTCTGTTTGGTCGCAACCGCCACTTCCAAAAAGTACCAATAGTCCTCAAAATTCACAACCGCCGCTGCCTCCCAGAGCAAATAATCTGTTGCATCAATCATCGTATAGCTTGTCGCAGCCGTCACTACCATCAAATGCTGAATCGACCCATACAAGATCGGCGCAGACATCTACAACTTTTACAATGAAACAATTGGATGTACCGACCCAGGCTATTCAGGCTCTTGTATCAAAATTTAGCTTTTATCACGATCGTCCAACTGAATTATCCAAGGAAAACGATCGCGTTCGTAAAGCCATGTTTGCACGAATGTTAAATCATATAAATGAGCTACCAAAGGCAACATTGTGTCCGTTGCTACCAGGACACGATTCAACTTGTCCACTTTCGCACACGTATATGGAAGTCATGTCATACAATCCGCTGTACAAGCGCCTAGTCTGTCGCCAGCCATCGCACTATTGGGGCAGTCAGCTTGAGGAAGATGATAGTTGTGTATGCTTGCACATTGATACTGGACTAACTTGGGATTGGATGGATGACGCAAAGCGTCTTTACTGTCTTCGTGGAGCCAAATGTACAAACCTTAAGTGTTACAAGTCACACTCTTTTGAAGAAATGTGCTGGTACAACCCGTCGTACAAGATCAAGCGTTGCAGTGTACGTACACATGATCATATCGCTCGAGCTCGTGGTACTATCGAACCGCCTCTGGATTGTAATTACTATCATATTGAAGAAGGCAAGAATTGTGACAAGCGTGACTTTACGGCTGAGTCCGACCACGTTGGAGTGAATGTTCAGATGCTGTTTACTGAGCGCACGCACAAGCCTCTTGCGGACCGACTTGAGGCTATTCGCTATCAGCGTGCCAATAATTTGTAAGTGGCTAATTTTTTTGCTATTAAACGCTGTTTGGTGAATTGGTCCCTTTGCTAAACTTATACATAATAATTCGTTTGTTTTGCTTTGCCCAAATGTGAGTTATCTACTTTGCCAAAGTGAAAAGCTACTGTCAAATAGTTGTTGACAATTAGAGGAGTATATTATTTAGAATGTTACATAAAACGTATCAACTACTTAAAAAGGAGACAATTTGCGATTCTAGCAAACGATTATCTTAAAATTGACCAAGGCTCAAAATCTATTTGTCCGACAAAACTCATCGCACGACGAACCTTTATCATTCATTCACTCCATTAAAGTCTTCATCGCTGGGTAGTGACTTCTAACACATGTCAAATAACTGCCCTTCATACCGCAATCTTGATCAAAGGTATTACCCGCAAGCCATAATTGTTTCTGCTTACCAATAGATTCAAAGTAAACTTTCAAGAGTGCAGTAGCGATATTTTTTTCCCACCTACGATATCGAGGCTGCATAAGTGTTGACTTTCCTAACGGTTTGATGCATGGAAATAATTGTTGTCGTGTCCCAAACCTAACTGACAGATCTTCAATGATCATAAACATATAAACACACTTAGATTTGCAAGCTCCTTTGGTTTACACTTCAACAATGAATTTCCAGCTTCTTCTGGTACGTCAGTTTTGCTCAATGACAGAGCAAATGGAACATTAACATAAGAGGACCTTGTAGCGAGAAGGATGTAAAATTTCGACGTCAAAAATGAGCTCACTGCGGTCCACGACTGTCTGCAAGATATTGAGTGGCGTGTCGCGACAACCACAGCTGAATCTGAGCCCGAAAGTAGGACAGACTTGTGCAAAACTGTGGAATTTTATTGACCAGTAATTGCTGAAATGATAGCGTTACTCCGCGTCATGGACAACAGACATGTTAAGAAAGTCAAAGAGTTCCATGATGGAGTCGCCATTGACGTGGTGGCTGTTTGGATCGGCGGGATTAGTAGCGACCACACTAACCGTTGGTGCCGCAGCACGTCTCACTCGGTCTGGAGCGTCAATGCTGTATTGGAAACCAAGGTTTATGATCTCGCCCCAAACTGAAAGCGAATGGCATGACGAGTTCAATATTTATCGGGACTTTTGTGCTCGATTTCAGCGAACTCCAATGGTGAGTTGATTCCTATTCGCCAATAGAATACTCTACGTTAATTTTTGGATGTCTTGACAGACAATTGAGGACTTTAAGCAAAACTATAAGTGGGAATCAGCTCACCGCAAGCTCGGTCAAATGACAGCTTTCGCATTTATGGGTCCGTTGACGTATTTTGCGGCAAAGCGCAAAATTCCGGTTCCGGCTCAAGCTCCTCTGGCTTTTATAACCGGACTGGGAGCAATTCAATTTTACCTTGGTCGAGGAATGGTTGAGAAGAATGTAAGGTCAACCGGAACTGAAACGCATGACACTTTTGAGGGTGCCAACTTCTTCCTTCCAATCCACGTACGTATATCATATTGTGTTGACCGCTTAAAGTGTCGTGACTTAACATTGAATAGTCAGCGTTGTCGCTTGCAAACTTTTCCCTATTAATCTGGACAGGTCTTGGAATCGTTTCGCCAGTATCAAGGGCAATTTCTGTGCGTGGGTTAATGACACCAGGTGTGCTCAAGGAATTGGGGCAAATCCGTCAACACTTTATGGCGGTGACTGGACTGGCTGCTGGAACAATCGTTGCAGGCTCGCTCGTAGCAGAAATTGACGGAGGTCAAAAGTTTCAATCGTTTCCTACGATGGAAGGGCAATGGATTCCACACGGTATATTTGAGCAACAGGTTGGTAGTTAGCACTAGCGCTTTTGCCAGTATTAATTTTTGATGTCATGCGTTGTTGTTTCGATGCGACTCCAAGCCATTTCTGCGTAACTTTCACGACAATGTAGCGCTTGTGCAGTTCGATCATCGTCTGTTGGCGCTGAGCACTCTCGCCGCGTACACAGTGATGTTTCTAAAGGCCCGCAAGCCTAACATCTGGACGAATCTGCCAGAGGATGCAAAGCATGCCATTATACTGGCTACAGCAGCTGTTGGAGGCCAGGTATTGTAATGTTAAGCACCAATTGCGTGTTTGCCCCAACTAATCTAGTTGTACAAAGGTGATGATGGGTGCAACGATGTTGGTGAATCAGGTACCGATGCCACTAGCGATGGTACACCAGAGTGGAGCGGCACTCGTACTTGGATCGTCACTATGGGTTATACATTCGCTGCGCTTTGCTCGCCCTGGCGGTCTCATAGGAGCTGCTGTTGCGACCGCTGCTACCAAAATGATGTGAGGCAAGGAGTAGTAGGTTAATCGGCAGTATTGGTGAATATCATCCAAATACATGAATTTGACATATCTCTTAAGTGTAAAAAAGCAAATAAGTTTGCTACTTGACGCCAATCAGCAGTAACTACTTTGTATCGCTTATGTACTATTCCAAGACATATTGTTATATGCATTAAATTAATATTCATATAACAATTTACACGACATTTACATCACTGTTATTATACATTTTTTCAAGGGTAACGAGCAATGTTTTCGGGCATCATCGAAGAGGTTGGCACGGTTGTCTCCATGCAAGAGCGACAGGATTTACTTCTTTGGAATGGTGAGCGCGGAACCGGAGTCGAGTTAATGGTGCGAGTCAAGGTGGCACACGAGGGTGCATACTTAGGCTGTAGCATCGCCATTAATGGCACGTGTCTGACTGCCACTAGCATCTGCGGGGATTGCGTAGCTTTTGGTGTGGCACCTGAGACTTTGCGTCGCACTAATTTGCGTAACCTTAAAGCTGGCGACAAGGTGAACGTAGAGCGCAGCATGAGTTTAGGTTCGCGCAATAGTGGCCACTTTGTGCAGGGGCATGTAGATGGTACAGGCGCGATTCTATCTTTTGAGCGCGAGAAGGACTCGCTATGGGTCAAGATCTCGGCCGGGCCTGACATTCTACGCGACATCGTAACTAAGGGATATATCGCCATTGACGGTACAAGTCTTACTGTATGTGAAGTAGATCGCATTAATGGCTGGTTTTCAATCATGCTCATCTCGCACACGCAAAACTCCGTCACTCTACCACTTAAGAAGATCGGAGACCACGTAAATCTTGAACCGGATGTGCTTGGGAAATATGCCGCCCGCTCAATGAGCAGCTTTGCCGAGCGCGTAAACAAAATTGATAGTCAGTTGCAGCAAACCAGACGTATGATGTTCGGATTTGCAGTGATCGCTGTAGCACTTGTTATTGCGATTGTTCGAAAGTGAGAAGATTTCACTTAGAATACAAATCTCATCTTTTCGGTGTTTACGTACTAAATAGAGAGGATTTTGTGAGCCTTCGCATTAGATTATTTTTCCAAAGAACGCATGTCATTACTAGAGCTCGCTATGTATCCGATTTTGGCTGGAAAATACCACCAGCAAGCAGCAGGTTGCGTGGCGTAAAATGGACACGGTACATGGGTGTCTGCTTTGAGCGCAGCGTCTTCAGTAGGAATCGCGAAGATGGCAATTCCTGTCTACCTCCTGGCCGTACCATTGGCACCGGTTTGACAAACCAGCTTCGACCAGCGAGTTTGTCGCCTTTTGGTGAGGCTGTAATCGATGAGTTTACATGCAAGTCTTTCATTGCACCTGAGATATTAGAAATTGTTGTCGATTTTTCTGTAAGCGCCTTCATATCCCACAGACGCACGGTCGAATCTAATCCCCCACTAGCTAAAATTGTACTCTCTCGGCTAAAGTCCAGCGAAGTGACCATGGCCTTGTGTCCCATGAGAGTCTCCAAACGTTTCCCAGCCTGTAGATCCCATATATTTATGTATTGATCCTCACCAGAGCTTGCAAGATATTGACCATTGTGCGAAAATGCAAGCGACTGCACCCCACGAAAGTGACCCGTGAAGACACGGACACATCTACCAGTCTGTACGTCCCATAATCGAACGGTCTTATCGCTTGAGCCGGTAGCCACGTAGTTGTGATTCGGATGAAATCGCACGCACTCCACATCTGATAAGTGACCTGCAAGTATACGGAGTGGACTCATATGATCCGTGCTCCAGAGCCGTGCAGTCCGGTCCATAGAACAGGTGGCGAAGTAATATCCCAGTGGTGCAAAGATAACATCCCATACAGGAGCACCTTGATGCGATCGATAAACGACTAAGTTGCTCTTTGCTGCTAGACTCCACAATCTAACAGTCGAGTCTGCCGATGCTGTAAGTGCAAACCGGTTGTCAGGAGAGAAACTTGCACCATACACAGCACCTGTATGACCTCGTAATACGGCCATTCTCTCATCTTCCTCTGCATCAGTAAATGATGGTCGGGTACCGCCATGATAGACCGATCCTGTTGCTGTGCCCAATGGATGCTCATCGTTACGCCATACACGGAACGAGGCATCGTCACAGACAGCGCCAACCATTGTAACATCGTCACTAAAGCACATATTGTTAATATGTGTTGCTGAATTGAGCAACGTGAAGCATAAAGCTGATGGTAAAGCACTTCGACTTACAGGTGCTCGGACCCGAATGTCTTCTAAAATATGTTCTTTCATGTCGGCAGGCACTCGAAGCACGAGTTTTTCCATCAACTCAGCGTTGAATGCATTTTTCCGATCTGGAAGTGGGCCAGTCTCCTCTAAAGCCTCTTTTCTTGTGCCTGCTGAACCATCAAAAGACAGTTTTACACGTTTGTGCTTACGATTAGCGTCGGAAAGCAGCGTACTTGTCTTGGTTTTATCTTTTAAGCCGTCTGCTTTCTTGTCCCTATCCACTGCCCCTACGTCATCACCACCAACACTTATTGAGCTATTCGCTAATGCTCCATTTGAAGGCATTATGTCGCCGTCTTTTCCGTCGTCATCCTCGTCTTCCTCTGCTAAAGGGTCATGAACCTTGCGTTCTGGAAGAACTCCCCACTGTACAGGAATTGCATTGAGATCAAGCACCGAATAGCCCATGGGCCCCGTAGACGCTGCCGACCCATTAGCTGCGCGAACCATGTAGTCCATGTCATAAGGTCCTGTCGTTAAAGGTACAGCTATTTCACTTTCACTCGGATGCTCCGATGCTGCAACATTCTTTGCAAGTTCGTCTGAAGTCTTGAATCCACTGGCTGCATCATTTTTCGCCTCTAAATTATTCAAAATTTGGTCTTGGGAAGATGTATCCTGAAGTTGCTGAATTTGTAAGCCAGGTTGATTCGACGTCACAACAATGTTGACCCGCTCATTAACAATCGCCAGTAATAAGAACAGATGTGTTTGGCTCAAAAATGTGATAAGCAGCTCGAAAGACAGCAAACTGATCTCTACGTTAAACTTGCTGTGTAGTACTTCGCGCACATACTCGTTTTCGCGCAAATGCTGCGTTGTAAATATGAGACTCAGTGTTCGCAATTCTTCCAAATGCAATCTCGTGTGGTCCGCTGCATATCGGTGGAAAAAATTTCTGCCTGCTTCCACAAAACCCTTACCCAATAGCTCCAAAAAACAATGTACAAAGATCGGGAAAGCAATGGCGTGCAACTCGTTGCGGTACATGTCCAACGAGTTGCAAATCCAGTCTACCAACTGCCCATACGCGTCGTTATAAGTTTCAGGATTGCCGTCTGTGAGTCCGTAAAACAGCTGCAGCACACAAAGCAATACATTCGACCTGTTAGCAAACTTGACAATTTTCCTCTTCAAAATGAGTCTTGTAGCAATATCATTGTAGCCATATTAAAGAATCTTTGACCAAGATCAAATATACAACCGTGGCAACGTACCAAATGATTTGCTGTGCAAGCTTCGGTAGTCAAACCCATTTGCTGCGCGTATTTGTGAATACTAGCGTTCTCTATTCGTGCCGCTTGGTCTCCTAATATTCGCCTTCGTTCTTCTTCGGTAACGTGATGATGATATGCGTCTCGTTTAGAGATATCATAGCCCCGCGTTTGGAGATACTTCAGCAGCAGCTCGTCCATGACAGAAACATTGGTTTCAGTATTCGAAGCATTATCCAGTGACTGTCGTGTTGCAATAGGAAGTGCCTGACTGGAATCTGTCAGCTCCAATAATGGCGACGGCACTGGACGTGCAGAGGTGTCAAGACCACCAGAGGCGGCAAATGATGACATCATATAACTGCCACCTAGTCAGTACGCAAAAGACGGACTAAATGTCTTCCTAGCCCCCTTCAACAGGAGATACTATCATTTCAAGGCAATTTATGTGGACACAAAAGGGGTATACCAGAAGTTTTGACAATAACTTGATGGAACAAGTAAAAGAGACGCTGCTGCTAGTAGCTGCAAGCGTCTCCTGCGTTGGATGCGGATTTTTGTTGGCGACGTGGAAGCGTGTAGAGGCGCCTAACTATGTCAGTAGACGCATAGTCACATCTTTGGGAATCGCGGGACTTTTTACTGCAGTTGCGTTCGCCATGTCCGTCAGTCTACACCCTGCTTTTAAATTAGGCATCAGAATTGATCGATTCTTTTTATAGGTCTATCTTGGTAGATGGCTCCAGTCAGCAGAATCAGCAGCATGAGATGTTATGTTACGTACAAGCGATGACACTACAATACTTTTACTTAGCATCTTACCTCTGGACTGCTTGCTTTGCTTTTCATCTCTATCAGATCATTGTGAGGCGGTACGTAGACTGCCATGGCTGTTCAGTAGTCGCATTTTTTGATACTTAAAATTTGGATTACTAGAAACGAGTATCCAGAAAAATTTTCATGGATTTATCATGGAATCGGGTGGGGGTTGCCAGGACTGGTGTTGGTTTTCCTTGTACTACGCCAGTTGACAGGACACCTTGGAGTTGGTCGAGCAGATCGACGGTGGTGCTGGATTGCTGTGCACACGACTCATGAAGAAGTGGAAGACGACCCTCTTGTATGGCGAAGTGAAGGTGCGATGCAGCAGCTCTTATTGTTTTACACTCCTGTGATCTGCGTATTTATTTTCAACGTGAGTGTCTACTATTTGATTCTCAAATATCTGCATATGGATCCAATGGCATCGCGCTTTCGAGAAAAAGTCAAGTTGTACTTGGGGATCTACTTTCTGTGCTCAATATGGGGACTGCTTAACCGGTTGGTGCAAATTTTTCGAGCTGACCACGAATCGAGTGCGTTTTTTGGCATGATGGAAAGTATGTTTGATCCGCTGCAGCCATTAATGAACGCTTTGGTGTATGGCACTAACAAGCAGTCTATCGAAGCGTACAAAGAACGTTTTTGCCCCGGTTGGATTTTCACTTCCTCCGACGAGGATGAGTCCTCGGGTATTGATGACTCGCCTCTGATACCTCAGGTTGTCGGTGCTGCACGTATTTACCAATTTGATTCTTTTGATCGCGAGTTCGGCCACTATTTCGACCAACACGCTAATCGTAATCATTTGAATCGACAAAACCGTGCAAAAAGATGAGGCAAGACGATTGAACCGACATTAACAAAGAAAAGCAAAAATGTCTAAATGACAACTTAATTATATGCATGGGTGGCAGAGTAAAATGCTAATCAGGCTCTTTCGACGAATGACTCGCTTATCCATTAGTCTGGCCAATACTTTTCGCACTAAGCCTTAAAAAAGAGAAGGCGAGCCAGCAGCACCCGTGGATCGAAGCTGTGTTCCGTGCTCTGCCTTCACCTTGAGATAATAATCCTACATCATCATCATCACTCATGACCTAACCGATAAATTGCAACGCAAAAATTAGCCGACGTACCCAAATATATTTGCGCTTGTTGGCATCCTGCAAAAGCTTGACAATTTCCGGCACAAGTTGCAGCGTCTGCTCGGCTGTAAAGGTGCTGTCCAAGTACGTGACAAACTGGTCGTCAGTGCAACGGTTCTGGCCATAGTCCTTACAGCATTTTTTGAAGTCGTCCACGCCGGCAGAACCTGAAATGTCCTCAATAAGTCGCAGCACGCGGTCGTAAACGACCTGAACGTCCGGACCGACGGCAGCAGCGGGCATGCGATCGATAAACGGTGACAAGATCTTATGCTTGAAGTTCTGCATATGCCCTGATGATGGAATGCTCACCAAACGTTGTAAAGCATCGTAGAGTTGTGAGGCCGCAGCAGGCTGATCAACAGCGCCTGTAAGGATCTCGGTGGGAGTAATCTCCCGGCCATAAAAGCGTTTATTGATGTCGGCTCGCGCCACAATACCTGAACCCTGCAATCCTACACCACCAAAGAGGCCCTTGCTGTGACTATATGTGTAGTTTGGGGCAACACCCGAGGCGCTAAAATTTGCGTTCGCGCCAGCTGCGCGACCGTACGGACCGGCGGCAAACTCAAGGTTAGCACCCGCTGAGAGCTGGCCTTTCTGCATAAAGCTCTTAACGGCCGTGTCCGAGTTTAATATGATCATGAACTCAATTAATTGCGCACCCATCTCGGCTCCAAAGCCCATACCAGCTGTACCAATGGCACTAGGAGCCGACCAACGGCCGTCAGGAAGTTTTGAGATGACCACGCCTGTGCCTACCTTGCCAGTCCAGACAAAGCCAGCTTTAATGACCGTAAGAAATGCAAGACCTTTTGCTTCATGAATAAGATCAATTGGGATGCGCTTATCTTGATCCAATGTTGGATTAAACAGATTTTCCAAAGTCTGTTCCGCCGCGCGAATGGCGCCTTCCATACTTGTGATCTGGTCTGTCATTTGTGGAGACTGGAGACTTTTGAGGTGACTTGCGATAAAAAAGAAAAACTACGGAATGTTGACTAGATTCTGTGTCACATGTTTATAAAGAAATCTTGCTTTTGATTGGTCAGAGAATTTTTTATTCTTCGCACCGTTTTCGCCTTGAAATCCACAATAAAGGTGTCTTATTCTTGCATATATTAAATTTCCAATAGCTCATCTCCTTGTAACGGAATTTACGCTATGGTCGCTTTCAAATTAGATCAAAGCTAAGGCATGAAGTACTGTGTGATCCAAAAAAGAAATGACATATGTAATTTATAACTAATACGTATCATTGATCATTTATATACAGATTTAGTATTTTACACAATCAAATGTGCATATTAAGAAATAGTCTAATTATGTCACTTTCGAACTCTTGAGGAAAACCTTTGAAATATCCATCTGTGCGATCAAATTGCAAATTCTACGAGCTGAAAGCTTCAACTGTATAAAGATTGGCGTTTCAGCCGCAAATAAAACAAATGCATACATATTATTATATGAATGGAAGACTTTATTTGCCTAAGTAAGGTTTAATTTCAGACCTTCGAGGGTACACTAAGGTAGTGCTGAACGGCCGAAGCGGATTATCGATCCTGAAGGATACCTCGAATCCGTATTTTTCTTGGTAAAGGAATTCCAAGACGTTGGACCCGCCGTCGGTCCTACCTCTGGACCGAGGTGTGCGTCATTCGATTGACCTGGTTCCGGGAAGCAAATACTGCGTAACGCGCCAATGGCCCCTGCCCAAAGAGCAGCGTGACGTCATTGTCACCGTTTCCGTGCGAAGCAAGACGCAGTGCGTGAGAGCAAGTCTCCCCATTCGTCACCCACGTTTTGTATCCGGAAGCCGTACGGCAAGTGGCGTATTGTTCCCGCTTTTGATTAGCTAAACGCTGCCACCATCCAGCACAAACGCCAATTCCTAGAAGGATGTTCTCCAGAACAATATGGCTGGCTGTACAAAGTACAGTGCACTCGACCTGGTCGATGGGTATTACCAATTGCTCATGAAAGCGAGTGATATTTCGCTGACAGCGGCGAGTACTCTGACCGGGGTGCTCTGCGAGTGGTTGGTGATGCCCCAAGGGCTGTCAAATGCATCAGCAACATTCAATCGTCATGTGACGTAGTTGTTCAGGCCCCACTGGATGTATGTACAATCATACTTCAACGACATCTTCGTCCACAGTCGTGTAGGGCACGGGAGTACAGATGGGGAAGACCTTATTGTCACTCTAAAAGCGGTGCTTAAGTGCATGCGCACGAATAAGCTTGCTCATGTTGATAAGTGCATCTCTGACGCTGAAGAGATCCCCCTTTTAGGGCGCTTCATTGGGAAGCGTGGCCTTCAAGCAAATCCCGCTAAGGTCAAGGCCATTGTGGACTAGCCGGTTCCAAAGAACCAAAAGAACTTGCAGAAGTGGTTTGGTCTCGCCAACTATTTGCACAAGTATAGCGCGAATTTTGCAGAAATGGCATAGTCATTGTCGAATCTTCTAAAGAAGCATACAGAACGGTGTTGGGACATAGAGCGTCTGGAGGCTTTTGATAGGGACAAAGACGGCCTCCTTCATGCACCAATATTGGCTGCCAGATCCTGATCGCACTTTTAGTGTCGTCTGCAGCGCTTCGAACTTTGCCATCAGGTGCGCACTGCTGAAACTAGACGCCGAAGGGCGAGATTGTGAGGTCGCGTTCAAATCTCGCCAGCTTAAGGCTGCAAAAAAGAGCTACCCAGTCCACGACAAGGAAGTACTTGCGATGAAGTATGCGTCTGTCAAGTTCAGGGTGCAACTGCTTGGTTCAAGGCTGTTTGTGAGCTACACAGCTCATGTGTCATTTCGCACTACGATTCAGCCGCCTCACCTCTCGCAGGGGATGGCCAGGTGGCTCTCATTCCTTGCAGAATATAGTTTCATGGCGTAGTAAAAGCCAGGAAAGCAGAATACTTTGGTAGATGCGCTGTCACGCAGACCGAAATAGAGCTTGCTCATGTCACAACGGTGACGTCGTCAGTGACGGATTTGATCTGCGCCGCACACGCGGGTGATGATATGGGTATAGCACTGCTACAGGCTCTCGGGAGCAAGAGCTTGGAAACTCGGCCAAGAAATTATCGGCACGTTTGCGCGCACAGTTACAACGATATTCTTTGAGTAACGGATTGCTGTATTACAGCACCGATTCACCGGGTACGCCAGGAATTGTGGTTTCTCACGATGAGGATTTGAGATATTGTATTCTCTATGAGGCCTACGACACCCCACTTAGTGGTCATTTCGGTTGTGAAAAGTCGTGCAGCTCGATGAGCTGAGACTACTGGTGGTCCAATTTGTACAAATGGGCGAGCGAGTATGTGCGCACGTGTGAGACATGTCAGAGAGTGAAACCCCCTCCAAATGCGGCGGCGCCGCTGGCCAGCTCACTGGTACCCCTTGGGTGTTGGCAATCCATGAGTATGAACTTTGTGTTTGGCCTGCCGAAGGAATCGGCGGGCAACACGGATGTGTTGGTCTTTGTGAACCGTTGAGCAAGATGACTCATCTTGCAGCAGTACCGGACACCATCGACGGTGCGAATACAGCAACACTGTTTGCCGATCGTGTCTTTCGACAGCATGGTTTCCCGGAGTCAATTGTCTCTGATAGAGACCCGCGCTTCATTGGGAAGTTTCGTTCTTCACTCTTCAGGGTGCTGGGCACCAAGTTGACTATGTCAACAGCGGTTCATCCGCAGGCCGATGGTCAGACTGAGCGCGTGAATCGCGTCGTTGAAGATGTTCTTCGCAGCGTCGGCGCTTAGACGCCGACGCGCTGGAGCGTAACGTTGCTACTCGTAGAGTTTGCTCTGAAAAATGCAGTGCATTCATCTACCGGCTACACGCCGTTCTACGTGAACGGATCTTTTACTCCTCGCGCACCGCTGCGCCCCCTATACATGGCTCAGGGCTTGGTGGGGGAGGAATAGCTAAGCGGCTAGCTGATGTCAGCCCCTTCACCGTGGGTAAAGGAGTAGGGGACCTTTCGTCTACCAGACTGAGTGTCTTACGACACGTTCGCGATGCGATGGCTAAAAGCCAAGACATGTGGATGGAATATGCAGATGGATGGAGAAGAAGAAATGCTGAAATTGTTGACATCGGAGACCTGGTTTCACTAAACGCTTAAATCTTCCTACACACGCAGTTTCTGCTGTCTTTATGACAAAGCTCCGTCCACGGTCAAGTGGATCTTTTAAGGTCGTGGTCAAGCGAGGCCTTGCGTATACGCTGAACCTTCCAAGAAGGATGCGCAACCACCCGGTGTTTTATGTGGCCAGTGCACGGCAACCCGATGCAAATGATTTCGCAGACAAAGAACGGCCAGATTGAATACTTCTCGGTGAGGGTGAAGGTAGCTCGGGGGTTATTTTGGCCGTTATTAAATTAATTTGGCAACTCATTAAGTATGGCTTGCAGATCGTCAGTCGCGGAGGCCGCAGCCCGTACAGCCATATTCAACCAAATATTAAGCTCGGGAGAGGTAACCCGCTGTAGCATGCAGCCGAGTTGCTTCGATCGTGGAGCGTCAAGCATAATTGCCCGATGCCCTGAAGTCGATCAAGAATTTCCATGGCTTCTCTAAGCTCTTCACGGTCGCTTCCACCATTCTGTGCTTTTTGTAGCATACATATGTTTGCTATAAAATCGAATATACTATTTTTAAATAAAGTCTAGTTTATTGTGTGTAATGGATCTTGATCAATGACATGAAGTCACCTATACATCATATTGGTACCCAAGTAAGCCAATGAAAGGTCATAACAATTCAACATATATGTTCAAGTGACGCATTTTTTATTTCAAGAATGCAAGCTTGGTAAGGCAAAAGTCGACTTTTCTAGACAATGGTAATATGTTGACCATGATTGCTATCACTACTTTGTAATCAGTCGCATCGCAAAGCGAGTCTGTTCCAAAAGTTCAGCAGCATTGCAACTAGCGCGTTGCACTATCTTAAAGTTTACTCTGCACCGACGTTCGTATGTGGTGAGCTCTAAATTTGGACGCGGCGGTGATCGATTTCCGCTCACACGCAATAAATATCAGTCCGTTTTAAAGGATGAGTTCTTTCTCGAATTGGGCGACTCTTTGCCTGAAGTGAGTATCGAATGGGAGCAGTGGGGTGACTGCTCGCTTCCAGGCAACCGGACTATCGTGGTGTTGCCTTCCTTCTCGCACTCAAGCCATGCCGCTTCCAACCGGGACGATCCTCGGCCTGGCTGGTGGGAAAACATGATCGGCCCCGGTAAAGCCATCAATACGTCATTCTTTCGCGTCATTTGTCCGTCCGTTCTGGGCAGTCCATTCGGAGCTACATCGCCTGTTACCGTCAATCCGCGCACTGGTGAAAAGTACAAGACCTTATTCCCTCAGATCACACCCGCCGACATGGCGCGCTGTCACGCCAAGGTGTTGGATGATCTAGGTATCGACAACGTCCATACAGTCGTTGGTGCTAGTATGGGCGGCATTCAAGCGCTTGAGTTCGCAGCTCAGTTTCCACGACGCTTGGACCGTCTTGTCGCTCTTGCCTGCACGCATCAAACTACTCCTGGTACAGTCGCCTTTCGTCATGTTCAGCGTCGTGCAATCCTTGCCGATCCAATGTACAAGGACGGTAATTACACACCTGGCGTACCTCTTGAAGGCATGAAAGTGGCGCGAGAGCTGGGTTTAACATGCTATCGTTCGCGCGAGGAGTTTGATGCACGCTTTGATTGGAACCCCACTGGTCCGATGCATTTCAAGACGGCGACATTTGAGGTCGAGAGTTACATGGACTACCAGGCTAACAAGTTTGCTCGATCCTTCGACCCAAACTGCTACTTGCTGTTGTCCAAGGCCATCGATTTGACCAATTTGGGTCGCAAGTCGCTAAATTTGGCCGAAGGCACAAGTCGTATTATGTGCAATACTCTGATCATTGGTATTAAGCAAGACCTACTGATACCAATCCAGGAGCAGCGCAATCTTGTACAGATTCTGCAGTCGTATGGCCACAACGCGCAATTAGTGGAAGTAGACTCCAAATTCGGGCATGACGCCATGTTTAACGGTCAAATGCAGTCAAGCGTGTTTGCACCTCTGATACGCGAGTATATCGAGGATCAACTTACCACGATCTTGATGCAAGAACAACATCGCTATAGCAGTCTATAGTACTCACTGTTAAATAGTCATTTTTAATTACTATATGTTTTGAAATGCCCAATTAATCGAGCCGGTGACACAACTACGTCAGACTGCAACCTCAGTCTGACAATCAGAAATCTCCAAATGCTCATGTGGCCATGGCGTCTAGACTGGCTGCTAATTCCCGACAAACTGATGCAGCTGCTAATCATGCGGCCGCTAGAGCTGTACGAGGCTGTAGCTATTTTGCCAGTGAGCTTTTTACGTCGTCATGTGCCTGTCTTGGGCGGCGCTCTTGTGGTACTCATGACGCTCCATGGTATCCTGGTTCGGCTGTTTTTAGAGCTACTGCGCGCTATCTTTGCGCGCGTGACATACTCACGTGACCCAGTGTTAACCTTTCAGCGATTTTGGCGGGCTATGCAAGACAATTATGCTTTTCTAGAGCCTAGACGCGTGGATTGGCAACTTGTGCGCCAACTCTTTGGGGATACCATCCAACCGACAACGAGCGATGACGATCTCTGGATTGCACTTCAAGAGAGCGTGTGTTTATGCGACGATTCATCAATTGTAGTCTCGCGCGTAGCAGGAGCAAATTCTGGAGTTTCAGGGCCTAGGACAGCGACGGTGCGAGGTCACAAGCTTTTCACTGTCGCAGCAATGCGATATCAGCAGATGACTTTAGCTACTATCGAGAGAGAACATTTGACGCAAGGTGGTCGTAGAATTGCAAACAACCGCTTTGTTTGCGGTATATTAAATGCTGCAACCAGCCCAGGATGGCGAATTGGCTACATCTGCCTTACTGCAATGGAAGGATTCGTAGAGTTCCCTTTGCCCCGAGTAGACACTCTCATGCCCTCGTGGTCAAGAGGGGCGAAATTTGTAGGAATAGGGGCTGACCAAATGCTATTGGACAAGTCAGAAGGAAGTCAAGCAGGCAGCCCTATTGCTGTACCTGAGATATATGACTTGGAATCAATGCGCTGGTCACTAGAAGCAATATTGTTGGGCTTAGGAAATGTGGATGGGCTAATATTAGACCTGCGCTTTAATCAAGGTGGTGGATCACACGTTGCAGCATTGACAATCGCTTCATTTTTTGCTAGCGAGAGTAAAGCAGCGCTGGCTTTTACGACTGACGAGAAATTACCAGGTGCAGTGCCAAACTTTTCAAAACGGAAAAAATATTATATACCGTACACATCGCGCTGCACGCATTTTCGGGGACCGCTGGCTGTGCTTCAAAGCCAGTATACTCGCGGGTAAGGTTCATTTTTAGTCACTTGGTCGGGCATATATTTTAAAACGTTCTACGATCACAGGACGGCGGAGCTGCTATGTTTGTCTATAATGAAGCGTCCACTTACGTCCCGAATCGGAGGTACCACTGCCGGAAGTCTGTCAGCTACTCGGCAATTGCGTTTGCCGAATTATTGGACCGTTGACATCCCACACCAGCGAGTTTTTAGTATTGACGATGTGCTATACGAGGGCGTGGGCATACCACCTACAGAATTTGTGCCGGATATGGAGCAAGTTTCAGCTCAAATGGTCGACGGTAATGTCTCGATAAGGCAAACGACAGAAGCCACTGCGTCCAGTTCCGCTTTTGATCCGTGCATAAGAAAGGCGATTGATTACATTATGGATGTAGAGTCAACGCGTGACACGTGAAGTCGCAGCTATTATGGAATCATATATCGTTGGATTAATGTTTAGCTTATATTGCATACTCAAAAAGTTGCCAATCCTTATCTTTGATGCCGCCTATCTTAAGATTCATTCACTGCTTCAATGCGTTAGCTTATCGCCAACCGCGAGACAACAAGTTTTGTTACTGCATTCCCTCGGTACTTACCGCTGCTGAAGCAGCTTGTGATGAGTACAAATACTGATACATCTGATCGTGCAGTCGAATATGATTTCGTGATACAATTGAAGTCTCGTCAAGACGAACTGTGCTCATGATGTTAACCAAATATCGTGTCAATAAGTGTAAATTGCAAATAGTGATGGTGCGTACCTTCAAGGTCAATGTTATAGCTAAATTTTTTGTTGGCCACAAAGTGAAGGTTGCCACTGATTTTCTGCGACGCATTGACTGCGATTGGAGTGGAGAGTAACAGACGACACTGATACCAATGAGTTCCTGCATCATGAGGTGATGTACTGAGTACGACTCGCGCATCTGATCCTAAGAAATCGACCGTGAACCAGCAGCCGAGACCGTGCATGATTGCAGTGCGTTCGACAACAAAGTGAAATGGAAAATCAAACGTGTCAAGTTGCTCCTTGGTAACTTCGGCGAAATCTATAACATGCTCAGCATATCGTGAGCTAAGTAGTATGTTTGGTGAAAAATATCCAACGACAGGTTGCGAGAAATGGTTGGCCACCGCCCGACCCCGAAGACTTGACAGATTAACACCGTAGAAGTCCTTTTGTTGCCAGAATGCCACTTTGGCCATCTGCTCTCGGTAGATAGTGTCATCTGAAAAAGGTGACATGAACATGGTTCCAATGGACGGGAACATCTTGAAGCTGGGAGATGGGCTCCGCCATCTCTTGCCCGCCGAGACAAACGTCTCCAACATGCGTTCGTGGACTAGGAAAAATCCCATAGGTTCCGATACCACAATATCGACAGGTTCTGGCAGCTGTACTTCTTCCATCTTGCCCTTGATAACTGTAATACGGTCGTGTAGTCCGTTGGCAGCCACAAGTTCACGAGCACATTCGGCCATAGCACTTAGTTCTACTGCGTACACTTTACGGGCACCGGCCTTGATAGCAAAAAATGCCAGAATTCCCGAACCTGTACCAACGTCTAATACCACCTTGTCTCGAAAGTCTGTTGGGTTGCAGAGCATAGCGCGCTCGTACGTTCCTGTGCGTACATGATCTTGTAGCATGTTCTGCTGATGGAGCAGCATTCCATAGTATTGCGAAAAAGGGTTTTCTTCGTCCTCTTCTGTCGTTTTCTCGGATTGTGTACCAGTGTTTATTGTTGTCGACTCACTCCTTGATAGTGAGGTGTTGCTAGACGGCATCAAGGCCTTCGATTCATTTGATGAGTGTTGCTGCCACGGCATTTTTACCTGTTTGTGGATCCCACCACACCATGTGTACCCAACCTGGTGTTTACATTTTATGCAACTGTGTATGTTTAATTTACACTTTTGTACAATCATGCGAATCATATGTTGCATTTTTGTGCAATTGTGCACAGCTCAGAGGGTACCAATGAGGTCTACGGAACTTTAAAATGATGACGTCCGGGAGACATTGGGCTCTGATCCTTACGTCATGCAGTACATATAACAGCATCGTCGAATATAGTAGAAAAGCTATATTAAGAAACAGTTTAAACAGACATACTTCTAAATCTTTTTGAAGATTCACACACAGCTTATCATTGTTCACCCCAACTTTCTGGGTAAAAACATTTTCTGCGCAAGCATCATGACGGCTTTGTTGTACGTGGTAGCACATACCGTCAATCCGACGATCAAGGGTGGAAAGGCTAGATCCGTTGTAATATTAACGCGATTTGCTCAACTATAGTCCTCGAGACAGCAAGGCACGTTTAAAATTGTACGTCTTTTGTTAGCCGTGAGGCGATAGCCTACTTTGCTGTCCGAGGGGTAGAAATGGTGGTGAGGTGAAACGCCTGAAGGCGTTCGCCAGCTATGAGAATGCATTGTTGACACACCACCGAAAAGGCCCTTATCAGCCGTCTGTCGGTAAACAACAGGCTCCCGCCGTGAGGTCGGGGGTGTGAAGCATCCTGTCTTGAAGGGGGGTATAAGTAAGAATCTCTCTGTAAGAGATAATGAGCTGGCCATACAGACGACCATACTATGGACCAAACAATGTCGTGTTGCTATTGCGGTCTTTAACAAGGATGCCGTGCGTTAGACTGGACAAAAACGTACAGTGTCTCCGTGAATGAGACATCCTTAGCATTCGAGGTGACATGTTCGCACCGCCTAATCAAGCGTACCGGATGCTATTCAATAATCTGTGCACCTATCACCCTTGACGGAGAAAGCGAAAAGCTGAAAAATTCCAGCGCTACGACACTGGCTAATTCACTTCTGGAGAATTTTCTAGCACAAGTAGCTCCAGCGAGACCATCCTCGCTCAATTGATCGCGTATGAATATTTGATGAGCTTTGCGTATCGTGTGGAGTACAGCTTTCGTGCCGCGAATGCTGTCGAAGCACGATGGTGGGAGCTCTATAAGCGCGCCAAGTGCGATCTACCTCAGTGATGCTAACAGGAAAATCAAATCTCTGTGTCCTGCAAGCGTCTTCCGTATCGGTCAAGAGTTGTTAAGGTTCTCAGCAGGGAAATCGAGTCCTTGTAGACGACTGGAGAGAAAGTGAGCTAAATTGTACTCGTGGAGGATGAGGCCAATTTTTCAGGCGATGACTATCTCAGTGAGCGGGACATTCACAGCCGGGATTGCTGGTCATTGACATCAACGTCCTGAGCTTTGCGATGCTGTGGAGAGTCCTGCCGGATTCTTGAACAGTGTGTAACTACGTACAATACGAGCGTATGAAGGCATTAGATTTTACGCAAAGGCATTGAAAATGCCAAAATGGATACAATATCCGTGCGACTTGCGACGGGGCGCTAGCTAAAGTCTCAAAGGGTCTTTTGAAGTTTTCTATGTGATTCGAGAGCTCCGACATTATGGAACGCTGTCCGGTATCAGAACTGGATTTGAGACTCGTTCTTGTTGTGGTGCGCACGCCATGATCCATGGTGGATTTGGAATTTACGTGCCACGCACTTCTTTCTGGTAGAGTCTTTGCGAATCATGATCCCACCTCTGTCATAAAATAAATGCGCTTTTGGTGCGGCTAGAAGCTACAAAAATTTGGTGCAGAACATGATATTTTATAAATTGATAGCGATTGTTCTATCAGGTGCCGCAAGCAGAGCCCGACAGGATGAAGCGCAGTAAGCTGAGGTCATTGTATGATATGGGAGGAGCGATTGCACCGCGGTTTCTCTGCTGAGAAGCGAAATGGCAACTGTAAGCCACGGTTTTAAGGATGTATCTTTGGTAGGACAGTATATAACAGCTGTGAGTTGTTGTCTCATTTGCCATAACCTGTGAAAGGTAAAGGCAACGATCTGTCGCGGTTGTGAGCTAGAGACGGTAGACACGGGTGTCTAAAACTCGAGGTTCAAAGGGTCAGAATTAAAGCTGTGAAGAATAATCCATGCATATCGCATCAGACCGGTAATGCTTAGTCAGTACTACCGTATGGCGTACCCATATCACCACAGCTTTGTAGCGAATGAAGTAAGCGCGCGAATCCTAAGAGTTGTATTTCTCTCTCATAAGCTAGATTTAAAGCTTTTATCGCGTAGAAAAATCATGCCTAAGAGCGATTTATACACATAAGCAAAACGAGGAGAGCACCGCATTGATACAGCTACTACCAATTGAGTTAAGCTCAGTATCCGTCAAGGGTAAGTCTGTCATTTAGGACACTAAGTGCGAGAAGCAGAATCGTTTTTCTTAGATATCATACGGGTCTTTCTATCTTTTGTTGAAGGAGTATCAGGACGTGGTGACAAGAAAGTAATCACGCGTGTGCTCGCATCCCAAATCCACACCGAATTTTGATTCAAAAGTCTATGTACCCGACTAAAGGTACAGAATCACGCCTTCCATCGTGCGTATCAAGGATCAAGTTTGATGGGGATAGGAAATGTCTTTGCGTGGCAGATGACTTCTGTGACAGAAATGCAAACAGGTAATGTCGGATCGTACATGCTTACAATAAGCTAAACGCAGTAATTAATCCCGCGCAAACGCGTTTATCTGAAAAAATTCGTGCTACAGAGTGAAAAGATTGGCTGTACCTTGTTCAGTGTCCTTGATCTTGTTTATGGCACTTATTTATTGCTAGCAAAGACAGCAATATTATTCTCGATGAGTGATCACTGGGAGCGGGTTACTCTGGGAGTGATTGGTCATTTCAATTGTCTGGTGACGCAGCTGTTTGGGCCACATGCCTTGGCACAAACGCATTTCGAATATTAATTCGTTCGTAATCTTGCAGGACATTAAAAGTCAAATGAGAAGGACATTAAACACTTGCAAGCAGTGGTCGAGATAATACGCTTAGTTAAGGTATCCGCCAATCTACTCATGCTGCCTCGGGTACCAATAAGCATTTTTCTCTGGAGTGTTTTCCGGAGAAGTGTGGCTAGCGGGCAGATCCTGCACACATCATAGTCATCGTATATAGATAAATGTAAAACGAGCCACGGGAGGTTACTTGGCCAGGCCA